GTGATCCACCCGCCTCGGCCTCCCAAAGTGCTGGGATTACAGGCTTGAGCCACCGCGCCCGGCCTGCCTGGTTAATTTTTTATATATTTTTGTCGTGACGGGGTTTCACTGTGTTGCTCAGGCTGGTCTCGAACTCCTGAGCCCAAGCAATCCGCTCACCTTGGCCAGTGAGACTGGCCTTTTTGTTTTTGTTGTTTTTTAAATAGAGACAAGGTCTCACTCTGTTGCCCACACTGGAATGTAGTGCAATCATGGCTCACTGCAGCCTCAAACTCCGTGGCTCAAGCAATTCTCCTGCTTCAGCCTCCCAAGTATCTGGGACTACAGGGGCACACCACCATGCCTGCCCATTTGTTTGAGTCTTTTGATGTGGTTTTTTTTTTCTCTCCATGTATCTGTGTTGCATGAGTCTGTACATTTTGTATCCATATATGATTTTAATTTTTTTTTTTTGAGACAGTCTTTTTCTGTCGCCACTCAGGCTGGAGTGCAGTGGCACAATCATAGCTCACTGCAACTTCTGCCTCCTGGGCTCAAGTGATTCTCCTGCCTCTGCCTCCTGAGTAGCTGGGACCACAGGCATGCACCACCATGCCCAGCTAATTTTTCTATTTTTAGTAGAAACGGGGTTTCACCATGTTGCCCAGGTTGGTCCTGAACTCCTGACCTCAGGTGATCTGCCCACCTCAACCTCCCAAAGTGCTGAGATCAACCTCCCAAAGTGTGAGCCATCATGCCCGGACTCTATATATGATTTTAAACTGTATGTTTTTGTGATTTCATTTTCCTGTGTCTCTAACATTGCAAAATTGTGGCCTCTGGTTTTATTTGTGCTTCTATGACTTGGTACCTGTGTTTGTCTCTTTCTGGGTATGATTTTCTGGTCCTGCTCTGGATTGATATTGTTTTTTGTTTTTTAAAAATTTTTTTTTTCTTTTTTAAAGACGGAGTTTCACCATGTTGGTCAGGCTGGTCTTGAACTCCCGACCTCAGGTGATCTGCCCACCTTGGCCTCCAGAGTGCTTGGATTACAGGCATGAGCCACCACACCCAGCCCGGGTTGATACTGTTATCACACGTGCACAAGCATCCTCACCAACACACACTTTGGTGTCTGTGTGATCTTCCACATGTGAAGTGATGTGCCTTAGTTAGGGGGGTTTATACTGGAGGGTCCAGGTGCGTACTTGTTTTGTGTGGGAATATAAAATTCTGCCTGGGTGCATTAAGGATATTCTGTGTATATTTGTGAGACTTGGATAACCTGTGTATATGTTGTTATTGTGTGTTTATGTCAGTGTCGTGTGTTGCTGGTGCTGATGTGTGTGTTTGCAGGGCACCACAGGACCACACATCACTTTGCCTGTCCTGGAGGACACGTTCCCTGTCAGGGATCTCTTAATGTGCTGTCCACATTGGGAGTTCAGTGTGGGGAGCGATGGGCAGAGCAAGAATGAATCACTTCCTCCTTATCTAAATCGTACATAGAGAGCTTCCTGGATGAGGGTGGAGACCTGGAGCAGCCTGGAGGGGAAAAACTGGACTGGCATCTGCAGAGAGGTCATTACTCTGCCATGAGACAGACACAGCCGTGGCCAGCTGCAAGAGCAGCACCTGTTCTATCAAGGCGCGGCTTCCCTGGGAGCAGAGGCGCCTGGCCCATGTGCCTGTCATTTGCTGGGTGGAGCCCTGCGTTCCGGGGACAGGCTCACACTGGCCCTGCTGACTCTGCCGTGCCCCTCTCCCCAGGGTCCCAAGCCCTGCAGTGCTACAGCTTTGAGCACACCTATTTCGGCCCCTTTGACCTCAGAGCCATGAAGCTGCCCATCGTCTCTTGTCCCCATGAGTGCTTTGAGGCCATCCTGTCTCTGGACACTGGTGAGGAGCAGAAGCAGGGGGACAGGGATGAGAGATTAGGGAGGAAAAGAGGGGGAGATGGGAGGAGAAAGGGAGGGAAATTGGGTAGAAGATGAAAAGATAAAGATAGAAAAGATGAGGCCAGGCGCGGTGGCTCACGCCTGTAATCCCAGCACTTTGGGAGGCCGAGGCGGGTGGATCACGAGGTCAAGAGATCGAGGCCATCCTGGTCAACATGGTGAAACCCCGTCTCTACTAAAAATACAAAAAAATTAGCTGGGCATGGTGGTGCGTGCCTGTAGTCCCAGCTACTCAGGAGGCTGAGGCAG